GTAATGCAATAAAATACCATGTAATTGTTTATACAAATCCTTTCAAAAAAAAGTTAATTATATAGTAAAAGTTTGCACTGCTATTCTTTTCGCCGGGAACTGTATGTATAAATCTAGATTTTACTTTATTAAATGTGAACAGCATGAAATTAAGATAACTGCATAGTCTCATTATTTTATAATATATTCTATTTGCTCATGCTTCATTGTGTGATATTTTTTTAGAACTAATTATATCGACTATACCTAATTTAAATTGATCTGTAATCATAGAAAAAAAAGAAATATGACTAAGTCCGATAAAGTATTAACCTCTGAATATCTGAATTGGCATGTCAAATTAAGTGAGTTACTAAGTGTTTTGACGATAAGATTTGGTCTAACTTATACAAAAAATATAAAAAAGAAACTGGAAATGAGCCATGGCAACTATCAGAAGTACATAAATCAGAAGTCATAAATTTGCCAGAAAACAAAGTATCTGATTTATCTTTTCTTTCCTTCGGTGAGCAATGTCAGTCCATCACTTTCGAAGCTAGACCTGATCCAGAATTAATTATCAAATCCATCTTAAAGCACTTCCCATACTTGAAATTCTGAAATAGTTTCAGAGGGATTGATAATTATAATTTTGCATCATCTCAACCGTGGAGCTCACCATGCCCTATTTGCAGTGGAAAATATGGAAATTATAGATTACATAGCTCATAATACTGCGAAAATAGAAATCAGTTCTCTTATGATTCTGAATTAGCAAAGTTGCTATCCCATGATAAGTTGAAATATTGTCTTACCTGCAACACTTCAAGCAATAAACTCAAGTTCGTAATTATAGCATAGAAGCTTTATCATGTACTCTTGCACTTGTATTTATTTTTTTACCACTTACATGTATTAATAAAGTACCGTCTTGCTTATCACCTGATATGTAAAAACCAAGACTGTGACGTACGTCACAATCTCAAAGTTTAGCACTTTTTTATATGAAGTATTGTAAAGCATGATTGTTGTAATCTGGAGTGACAGATATCTGTATTAAGTCAGTTGCGTAATTGATCAACTGATGAGTCAGATCAATCTGTGCGACAATCGATTTCTCATATATATCCAGCTTTCACTATTTTGAGCATAGGTAAAGTCTAAATTTTGTTGATATTGTTACACAATTATTTATATGCATTTTACAATAAAGTTCAATTAAAAAATGATCAACCTTTATAAAATTTTTTTTTTACAAAATAACCAGTGACGAAACTTCGCATATATACTCTTTCAAAGCTAACTTTTCGTATGGATTCCTTGGATTCAAATGGATCCAAATGCCTAGCAAGTTATATAAGAAGTATATTTTATATATTTTACGATAATGATTTATTAGTTGGAAATTTAATGGATATATTATATTACCAAATGCTAACTTGTTCGGGTTTTTATTGATTGGAATCTAAATATATTACCAAGTGCCAATTTGGTTAAGTGCATTTATAAAAGCTACATGTACTTGTTAGCTTTTATTTGTTTCTATCTCTTCCACCTTTTCATCATCTTCATTAGCGATATCTTCAACATTTTCACCTTCTTTTTCTTTAGTAGTAAGTATATTTGGACTTTTTTTCAATCGTTTTAAAAAGGAATTCACATTATTATATATTCTGCATTTATAATATTCTTCATAATAATGACAACTATACTTTAATTTTTGATAGCATTCAAAATGGTATCCATGCCCACAAACTAAAACTTCACCATCATCAAGTTTTTTTTTACAGTGATCGTAAGCATTTGGCAATGGGGATACACTAGTACTATATCCAGCTGGAAGACATTTTGAGTTAACAATTTCTCCTAAAGTAGCTAATTTATATCGATTTTTCTTTTCAATTTTGCTTTTTCCACAATTTTTAAAGATCTCATGAAAATAATCTAA